ATTAAAAATTCTGTCTCTCTCATGCCACATTCTCTAGGTGGCTGTCTTGACATGAGTACAGCCATGTTTGGCCGCTCCATTGACCTACAGCCACCAGCACAAAAAAGAAATACAAGGCTGCTTTCTGTGTGGTGGGAACTGGCCTTTTCCCAGGAACTGGCCTTTCTCCCACGGAGAGAGTTGCAAGTTGTAACATTTCAAGGCTCTTGGAGCGTCGTAGCACGGGATGGACTGGCCATCTGTGCCGGGCTGAGACGATAACCAGAGAGAACAATGCACGTACGCAACTACTGGGCTGGGATGTTAGCCAGGGGGCTCAATGCACGTACGCCACTGATAACCATTTTGTGCATGGGAACACTAAATGCTTGCTCTGCAAACTCTGTAGTTGCTTACTCTGAAAATTACTGATGGTATAAAAACTGCTGGAAACTGAGCCCTAGTGAGAGTTCCACCTGTGGAAGGGACACCTTGCCCAGGACGTGTGATCCTTGCCCAGCCGCGTCGATTGACAGAGCTCTCCCGGCAGTGGGGCGTGGATGTTGTGAGTAACTGATTTGATGTGAAGTAATTGATTTGATATGAAGTAATTGATTTGATGTGTTCTCTTTTCGGTTAACCTGGTGTTTCTCTTTCTGGTTGATTTGTGTCATTTCTCTTCAGCCGATGTGGGTATTTTCCCTTTCCAGTCGGGCTGATGTTTTTTCCCTCTTAATATTTGACCTATTTGGATCTGTTTGCAGACTGTCACCTTTACTATCCTCTATATAATAAAATATACCTTCAGTCCATTTGTTTGGAGTGGAAAGTGTCTTTTACATCTCCGATCGAATCCCCGAACCTCTCATAACAGTGGCTCTGCAAAGAGTTGCCAGACAAACATTTACATTTATAAGGGAAATCTCCATTTGTAAAGGTATCTCTTTCTCTGTATTGGGAAGAGGGGGGGATGGCCTTATCTGTGAAAACTCATCAGTATGGAAGGAGAGGACTTAAATCTGCATACTGTAAAATCTGTCTCCCTTCTGTCTCCCTCTCCACCCCCAACATCCTCCTTTGTCTTTAGCTGAAGATGGTATTTAAGATGAGAATCTCTGCCATTTTGTTGAGAAACACAGTTTCCTGGGTTTCTCCCATGTATACATGTTATTAAACTTGGTATTATTTTCTCCTGCTAAACTGTCTTTTAATTATTTGGTCAGCCATAAGAACCTTGAAGGAAAGGGTGGAGGGGGATTCTCTCTCTTCCCCAACAATATATAAAATTGAAAAAAAAAAAAAAACTTTTCACGTGACCACACAGAAGTCTTACTTTATTATTCCTTGTTCCTCCTCCAAGTGCAGCATATTGTACCACCTTGAGCTCAAGCCAAAAATCTAGGAGCTGTCCTTGATGACTGTTTTTCCCTCACTTCCCACATCCAATCCATCAGCAAGTTCTGTTGGCTCAACCTCCGAAAGATCCCGGAATCTGATTCCTTTTCACCATCTCTTCTGTGACCAGCCTAGTGTAAGCTCTCATTAGCTGTTGCAAGAACTTCTGCCTCCCTATCCCTGATTCCAGTCTAGCCCCTCCACAGTCTGCTCTCCACAGAGCACTCAAAGCAATTTTTTTACAGCATAAATCTTTCTTTAAATTAATTAATTAATTTATTTATTTAGTGTGTTTGTGTGTATGTGAGGAAGATCAGCCCTGAGCTAACACCCATGCCAATCCTCCTCTTTTTGCTGAGAAAGACTGGCTCTGAGCTAACATCTGTGCCCATCTTCCTCCACTTTATATGGGACGCTGCCACAGCATGGCCCGACAAGCGGTGTGTTGGTGCGCACCTGGGATCTGAACCTGGGCCACTGGCAGCGGAGCGCATGCACCCAACCTCTATACCATGGGGCCAGCCCCCAACAGCATAAATCTTATCATGCCCCTTCCCTGCTTACAGCCCTTCAATGGTTTTCCATGACAATTAAAACAAATTCCAAGGGCCTTGATTCCTAGTGTCAAGGACTAGATACCCTAAAAAGCCCTACTGATGAGGTCCTTGCCTACCTCCTCGTGCTCTGAGAGGTGTGGAGAGTCTCCTGCTATTACTCAAATGGCCTTATTTTGCTCAGAACAGTGATGTCCTCTGAGATTGGCCGGACAGATCTTCTTTTGGCCCATCTCCAAACCCTACTGCTCTGATCCTCAAAAACACTTCCCCAACTTCTTACAAAGGAAATTCTTCCTTTAGCGATTCATGCTTCTCCTTTCAATCCAATACACAATATCTCTGGCAGATGTCATCCATAAAGCTAGTTTTCCTTTGTTATAATGAGAGAGGCAGGAGAAGACTATGCTACAGGCTCAATGAGGAGACATTGTCAGCACAATCAGAAAGGGTAGGTGAAGTTAAAAAGCTACCAACTTTTACAGCTTACAATAATGAAATCCTGTTACTTTTACTAAAATCTCTTGAATTCAACCACAACTCTCCATTCTCTTTGCCAAAAAAAATGAGCTGAATCTGATCAGTTCAGGCCACCACTATCTTTTGCCAGCCTCTGGTCTTGCCCCTGTGGCATTGCAAATGTCTCCCTCCAAAGTGAACTTTTCAAAAGTAAATCTGATCAATTAACTCATGCATCCCCCAAGGGTTTAAACACTTTCAAAAGTCCCTGTTGACCTTAAGATAAATTTAAAACTTCTTGGTAGACAAATAGGATCCTTCAAGATCAGTTTCATCTCTCCCCCTTATATCTTCCCATTCAAACCCAAAAGGAACCGGAACACCTGTAGTTCCCATTATAGAACTTTCCTGCTGGTAACAATAAGCATTTCCCTCTTATTGCTCTTTCTGGTCATTTATGGTGCAGCTGCCATGTCATATTCTCCTACCCTAAGTGCTATTAATAAGGTCCTCAATGCTCACCCTACTTGACCAATTTCACACTCTATTCTAATTGGCTGTTCACCTCTTACTTCCCTATCCCTCCATCCCAACCCTCACTCCAAGACTGTAGTTTCCTTGAGATTAGGGACTCTCCTAGTACCTGTTATAGCTCAGCATCTAGCACAATGAAAAACATATAGTAAGTGTTCAATAAATATTCGTTGAATGGATGAATGAACAAATAAATGGATTGCTAAGGATTAACTCTATTTGTAGTTCACTATTGTTTAATAATTATGATTTCTGCACAATAAATATAATACAATTAAAAAGAAGAATTAACAAACAACAGATTGAAGGAAATATATGTATCAAATACAATTTAAAGACTTCCTTTAAATTTTATAGGAAAAGCACTGAGACTCTAAAAGATAAACCATTCCCTCAAAAGGAAATAATCCCAAAAGGTTTGAATTCCTTCTAGCCTAATCCAGTGCTGGCCGATATAGAATCAAATGTGGTGCCATGTCTAATTTTTAACCATAGGCTTGATCTCTCCCTAGAATCAGAGAGAACATGGTTGGAGTGTGTAGGGGAAGGAGAAAGGAGGGGTAAGAGATGAGGAAGGCAAAGGCCACATCATGGAAGGCTCTTAAGTCATCCCCAGGAATTTGGAACAGGAGCCACAGAAAAAAATGGAATCTGAAAAATGACATGCTCATTTGGGCAGCTATTTTAGAAAAAGGATTCTGTCTGGAATATGGAAGCTATATTAGAATGCGGGGGTGGAGGGGCGGGGAGTCGAGAAGACAACTTAGAAGACTCTAGCAGTAATCTAGATTTTGTTAAGTACTTATGTGTGCAAAGACAAGGGAAGAAATTATCTCCCAGCTTTCTGGTTTAAGAACCTAGTGTACAGTATAGAGAAGTCACTGGCCAAGGCAGGGGAGAGGCAGGATTGCCTAGTGATGATGAACTTGGTCACTGGAGTGTGCCTTTGCTTCCAGTTCTGTCACTTCCTAGCTGTGGGACTTTAGGGGAAGTTCTTTAATTTCTTTTTGCCTCAACTTCATCATTTATGAAATGGAAATAATCTCTAAAGTGGAATAATATCTTTCAACAGTTGTCCTAAGGATTGAGGAAATGCATGTAAAAGCAATGAAATAGTGCCTGGAACTTAGTAAGATTTTTAAAGCATTGGTTGTTATTATTATTATGCAAAAGAAAAGCAGAATCTGGGGGAGGAGATAATGAGTTCAGTTTAAGGACATTTTAGGTTTCAAGTATTTGCCTCAGGGACTTCCCAGGAAAGATGTCCAGGGAGCAGTCTGATATCTGGGGCTAGCTCAGGAGAGAGATGTGAGTGGAGATGATAATTTGGGAGTTTCCTGGGAGTTCTCAGCCTACGATTGAAGCCATGTGAGGGATGCAATTACTGGGGAAAGACCATGGAATCCATCATTTGGCAATGGGAGTGGAGTCCAGGAGAGGGACCTAGGACTGAGGTCTCTGAAACTGAGGTCAAGGAAACAAGTGTGCCTAGAACGTTGTCCAGAGTCCACTCACTTGAGTTTGAATCTGCCTAGAGTGATGGCGCCACGAAATAGAAGACCTAACGTTAAATGCTAACACCACCAGTGACTGTGAGGGAATAACCAGATAGATGACCTGGGAGAGGAAGAGAGGGAGGAAAATAACCAAGGGTTTTTCTCCACCAGATGAAGATCTAGAAGTGGCAGCGGGGAACGAGACCCTTCACTTAGCACATCCTTTACACAGGTTGCAGTACAATTGATTGGGTGATATTCCTATCCTGAGAATTTTCTGATTATCATAATTACATCCCATCTTTTGCATTTTCTTAATTATGCAATTACAAACCACTTTCAGGGGTACGTGATCACATAGTCAAATCTAACGAATGTTGACGAATAAATGTCTCGTCTATACCTAATAATACGTGGTCCTACCCTAGAACTACAAATCTGTTTTTAATTGATTGATATTTAAAATCTATAACTTTATTTCCAAATACAAAAAAAGGAGAATTTTGAGACACTCTCTAAGGAGGCAATTCGTTTTCAGATCTTCTAAAACATATTCCACACTCCCTTTCTCCTCCTCCCCTCTTCAAATCTCGCTTTTTTCCGGCGGGGAATCTCGCGAGAAGTCGAGTTACCATGAATTCCCCCAGAGGCCACTGCTCTTCCTCTTCCCGTAAGCGGCCTGAGGTGAGTGTGTCGTAGCCATGTCTTTCTTAGTGCTCAATCCTCCGGTCATCGCCGCCATCCTGGCCTTGGGGGTGCTGATCTTGAGACCTCCGGGAAGAGGACTCCCGCAGCTACTGATTCCTCGCTGAAGGCGGTGTTCCTCTGCGCGGGGGGACGTGTCGGAGCGCCCGACTTGGCGCGACTGGGGTGTCCGGTCTCTGCGTCCCGCAGAGGGGCGCGATGGACGGGAATGGGGGCGGCGGGGGTACTGCGGGCGGCCCGTGTTCGGGGCGGCCTCCGACGCCTGAGGTCCAGTGTGTCGCGGTGAGTGTTGGCCGCAACGAAAGTTTGGGGGGAATAAAGTAAAGTGGGATGAGGCTTGACTCATTTGAACGTGAGTGTTGCAGACTCGCTGGCGCTTAACGTGGGTGATATCCTAAAAAGCGTGCGGAGAGATCGCGTTGCTTGAGCAAAGGGGTTTTCTGTAGGGGGAGCATGTAGGGGCTCTGGAGGGTAGTAGTTGAATTCTATTCCGTCAATGCGTGGGGTCGGTTTACGCCTGAAGGATCTAGAGTTGGATGGAATCAGGCGGTATTTGCTTCCAGGGTGAGAGAGGGCTGATGAGGTTCTTGTCACTAGTGGTGTCCACACTGCTGTAGTCACTGGTGGATGCACAGGAGAAGAAAGCTCTGAATGGAGAACGGGGTAGCTGCGGTGATGGCATTTCTTAGGACACCTTTGGATTAATCATGAAAAGAACTACTCTCTGAGCAGCTGTTCGTAGCATTTAAGACGTATTTAAACTGTTAGTTACTGTAAATGTGTATTGACAGAATTAATTCTGCTCCCTTCCAGGTGATCTCTGAAAATGGTTCGCTACTCACTTGACCCAGAAAACCCTACAAAATGTAAGTGAACAGGGGATGCGTGTTTCTTATTTTGGGGTAAGAGAAACAATAAGATGCCCAAAATTAACGAAAGGTTTTTTTTTTTAATTTTTTAGCATGCAAGTCACGAGGTTCAAATCTTCGTGTTCACTTTAAGGTACGTGAATCATAGCTATGCTCTGAAAGAGTCGTTCCACGTGTTTGGAGTTTTACCCCTCTAAAAAGGTAGCTGCAGTGATGCGTTTCTTAGGACACCTTTGGATTTACCGTGAAAACTAATCAGTTCTGAGCAGCCACCTTTTAGTCATTGATCATCAGTGTATAACGAGTACTGTGATTTAGGATTTGTGGAATTGGGTAAAACTAGCAGAGAACTACTTGAGAACCTAGTGTACAGATTAAGATATGGGACGCATCGCTGTAGTGACAAGACGGTGGAATTAAAAGATACTACAGTGAATAAGCAGGTTTAGGGTTCATTTTTCGCCAGCTTCAAACCAAGCCTCCCTGGCTCTCAATCACAGATATTTTTGTCTCACTGTATTGCATCACCTCCAAAGAATGGAAAGGTTTTAGCTGTTGATAATATGTGGACATTTTGAAAATCTGAGAAGTTAACGTTTCTTTGAGAAATTGTGATCCTTTATCATGGTTAACGCACGGTTTATATTATTATACTTAGAACACTCGTGAAACTGCCCAGGCCATCAAGGGTATGCATATCCGAAAAGCCACCAAGTATCTGAAGGATGTCACTTTAAAGAAGCAGTGTGTGCCATTCCGTCGATACAATGGTGGAGTTGGTAGGTGTGCCCAGGTGAGAATTCGTGGCTGCCATTTGAAAATGCAAATTGTAAGGGAAAGTGATTGGGTGGGATAAGGTTGCTGTGATGACCATCTTAGGACACCTTTGGATTAACCGTGAAAAAAACCATGTTCTGAGCAACCTTGATGTTGGATAAAATTCATCTTGGTTGTAACATTGATTTAAATTAGGAAATGACTAATAGTCTCTCCATTCTATTTTCAGGCCAAACAGTGGGGCTGGACACAGGGTCGGTGGCCCAAAAAGAGTGCTGAATTTTTACTGCACATGCTTAAAAATGCAGAGAGTAATGCTGAACTAAAGGTACAGAAACCATTAGCACCTTTATAGGCATCCAACTTGGGTGGTGGTTCAATTAATATTACCATTGTCCAGATTTGTTATATAGGCAATAAAATAAATACTATTAGAAAGGAATATAGTTATCAAATTGATGGCCTTGGTAATGGTTAATGTGGTTTGTTAACCTACATTCATAATGGAGAGATATGTTAAATTTCTGTTAAAAGTTAAACCAACGATGTAATCAACAAAACACAAGTTTATCCATTTTGGCCATTATCCATTACCCTTTTGCATTTGGAATTCTGGGCCTGAACTGGGATTAAAATGATGTTAAACCCTTCTAGCTGCCAATCCATGCTGCCAAAATGCTGTTTATCACCAAGGCTTCGAAATTGACACTAGCAGATCCTATAACTCCCCTTCTCCTAATGACCTTTAAGGAGGCCACTTACAAACAAAGTGCATTTAGCACTGAGTTTTGGTCATTAATTAGATTTAAGGAAGGACACTTAGAATAGAGGTGAAAAGAAATGCTTGAACAAATAAACTATTTAAAGTCTTAAGGATTGCCTTTCATAAATGGTTTCATCAGGGCCAGCATGGTGGCGCAAGTGGTTAAGTGTGTGAGCTTCAGTGCAGCGGCCCGGAGTTCGCCTGTTCGGATCCCAGGGCGTGCACCGACGCACTGCTTGAGCAGGCCATGCTGTGGCAGCATCCCATATAAAGTGGAGGAAGATGGGCACAGATGTTAGCCCAGGGCCAGTCTTCCTCAGCAAAAAAAGAGGATTGGCAGATGTTAGCAGAGGGCTGATCTCCTCACAAAAAAAAAAAAATGGTTTCATTAAGGCAGGGACTTGATTTTCCAGTGATGATGTTAAATGATAAAGAGGTTATCTGATTTTGTTCCCCCTTTTCTCTTCCCAGGGCTTGGATGTAGATTCTCTGGTCATTGAGCACATCCAGGTGAACAAAGCCCCCAAGATGCGGCGCAGAACGTACAGAGCTCATGGGCGGATCAACCCCTACATGAGCTCTCCCTGCCACATTGAGATGATCCTTACTGAAAAAGAGCAGATCGTTCCTAAACCAGAAGAGGAGGTTGCACAGAAGAAAAAGGTAAATTACTTCGTCCTTGCTCAGTTTCATTTATGTATGATGATTAGATTTGTGGTTGCTGTGATGACTAACTTAGGACACCTTTGGAACAACCGTGAAAGAAAAGTATCCTGAGCAACCAGCAGTCTTCTACTCATTTTGTTTTGGCTTTCATGGGTCTCATTTGTTTCTTGACTAATTGTATTAGAACTTGGTATTATTCAGTACATCAGAACTATATGATTATCTGCTGATGGCCCCCCTAGATGTCCATAGCCACTCCAAATCCAAATGCATCATGTCCAAAAATGGGCCCTTCCCTCCTCTCCACGCCCCTCCTCCAACTTGAATAATCTTGTTTAGAGTAAGTGATCATTCAGTTTTTTAAGCCAGGAAGCTGGGAGTGGTTCTAAACTACTCCCTACACACTTAATGAATTTAGCTTCTGTTGATTTTATCACTTAAATAGTATCTTCATTGTTGCTGCCACTTGGTGTTTACCAGCTGGGCTCCCTGCCTCAGAAGCATAAGCTTTCCCATTTAGTTTCCTCCTGTCTGCCCCTCCCCCCATACCGCTTCTGTATGCCAAAGGACTCTATGTTGAAGTTTGCAATTTTTCTTTCAGTGAACTGCAACCTACTCCTTTAAGATGTAGTTTGGGTTCCTTCAGGAAACTTAATAGTTCTTTTATTTTTTTCCCCAGATATCCCAGAAGAAACTGAAGAAACAAAAACTTATGGCCCGGGAATAAATTCAGCGTAAAATAAATGCAAATAAAAGTAAAAGCAGAATGTTAGTTGTCTTTATTATTAAATATATTTCAAATGTCCTCGCGGGATGGATCAAACAGGTTTCTCGTGATTAGAATTAGAAACATATTGTTTGCCCTGTGCCATAGATTTTGGTTCATAAACATGCTGTTTTGAATCTCTAGGTGCTTCTTTGTATAAGATGGAATTAGAACATGGGAAAATGTCTGAAACTTTTTTCCACTTTGAGATTCAACAGTTACCCATTCACGAGTTTAGTTTTATGGCTTTTAGTATATTGATTTATGCATCTATCGCCACAATTTTAGAACATCTTATCCCAAAGAGGAACCTTGGCAGTGGTTAGCTGTCACTCCCAAACCTAGGGAACCACTTTTCTATTTGTGTATATATATTTGCCTGTTCTGGATCTTTTATGTAAATGAAATCACAATACACTCATCCCTTGGGATCTGAAGGGGACGTAGAGGGCCTGCTGTATGTGGCTGTTTGTCACTGGCTTTGACTTAGCACGGTCGGTGTTTTCAGGGTTCATCCATGTAGCGTTTTATCTGTGCTTTGTCATTGGTTAATTGATTATATGAATATACTATTTGTTGAACATTGGGGTTTTTTTTTAACCTATTACAAATAGTGCTGCTGTGAACCTTTGTGTAGAACAAATTTTTGGGGTGGGCATGTTCTCGTTTCTCTTGGGTTATATACCCAGAGTGGAATTGCTGGATCATATGGTAACTTTGAATAAACTATGGAGAAACTGCCAGATGTTTCCAAAGTGGTTGTGTCCCACCAGCAATGTATGAAGGTTCCAATGTGTCCACATCCTGTCCAAGGCTGATTATTTCTAGCTATCCCAAACATCCTGTCCAAGGCTGATTATTTCTAGCTATCCTATTGGATGTAAAGTCGCATAGCCATTTCTTTTAAACTAATACCCGCTTAAAGTTGACATTACTTCATGTTAATTTTCCCTGCCCTTGAATTTAAGACCCTTTTAACTACAGAGAGAATAGCCACAACTGCGTTTGAAAACAGCCTAGCTGTCACATGCAAATGGTGTAACCTTCCCTATGGGTGGTGAACCAGTGGCACGGGCGTCTCTGCTGAATCACTGTTCTGAATTTCGTTCCAGTATCCGGGCGGGGGTACACCGGAGCCCGGCTCTGCCGCGCCCCCGCAGGCTTTGAGCTCACGGCGGCAGCGCCGGAAGCCGCGCCGAGTCCCCGCCCCGGCGTCACCGCTACGTCCTGTGCGCCCTGAGGTTGACGCAGGCGCGCCTTTGTCGGCCCTTTCCGCGGGGCCCATTGGCTCGGGGCGGCCCGTCCCTCCCTCCGGAAGTGCGGACATCTGCACCGGGCCTTGGTGGTCGCGGGTGAGCAGGGCTGGGGTTCCCCGGCAGGCCCAGGCTGGCGGCTGGGGGTTCGGGGCGGGGTGGGCTGTGGCCTCGGCGCTGTGGAGCCGGGCCGCGCTGTCGAAGCCCCGCCCGGGCCGCGGCTCTCCCGCCCCCGGCGCCTCGCGGCCCGCCGGCGCCCTCCCTCCGGCCTCCGGACGCGCGCCCCTGCCCCCTGTCCGCCCCTCGCCCTTCACCTCTACCTGCGTCGGCGTCCACCCCCTCCCGGCCTGCCCGCCTCTCCCTTCCTCTGTGTCCGTTTATTCTCCGCCTTGGCCTGAGTTGTCGCTTTCACTTCTCTCTGCTGTCGTCTTCACCACCAGTCACTGATTCTCTCCGTCTTTTCGGGCCTTGTCTTGGGCTCGACCTGCCGCCTTGTCTCCAGTGAAATGATATGCCGAGCTGGGTTACTTAAAGGGAGGTGGCGTTCCCCCTCTACACCTGCCCCGTTTCGGAGACAGCCTCAACCTTTCCTCTCGTTGTATTGGACTTAGTCGAATGAAAGAAAATTCCTCTTCTCCGACAGTTTTAATCCATTTTGCTCGCTTTCTTGTAATATCCGAGAACTAGCTTGGAGAGAGTGAAGAAAATAATTTTGTCAATTTATCGTAGCCACCTTCTAGACCTTTCTAAGCCACAGTTTTCTCATGTAATATGAAGTAAAATACTTCACTGAAGAATCATGAGGATTAAGAGATAAAATACGGTGGTTTCGTTCTGAAAGAACTAAAAAGTTTTATAAAAGCCATCATTATAAGCGATAGTAGTATTTGTTCTTGGGAGTTTAAACACAGCAATTACAAGCGGGTAAAAATGAGGCTTTATGATGGAGGGGTTGGCAGTCTTCAGCTTAAAGTAGTGCTCGAGCATCGCCAGTGGTTTTGTAGGGTTTAGTTGGTTTTGAAGGTTTGGTGGAAAGGGAGTAACATGGTCATCGTGTTTTTGGAAGGGTAAAAAGCATTGAGCCAGGAAACCAGAAGAGAATTCTGGTCTTAGCTCTAGTTACTAGTTATCTCTGTGTGAACTTTGGGCAAGTCACAGCTTTTGCATCTGGATTTTCCTTTCTTTGTATGGTAACAACACTTAAGTAGCATTTAATATATGAAGACACTGTTCTGAGCTTTGTATTCCTGTTAATTTATCTAATCCAAGCTACATCCCCGCGAGCACATAGATACTGTTCTTGTCTTCATTTTACACGCGAGGGAATTAAGGCACGGACTGGTTAAATAATTTGCCCAAGAAGACCCTCTAGAGAGTGGTGATGGCAGGTCTCAAACCCAGGCAGCTGCCAGCCAGTCTGCTTGATTGCTATGCTGTGGGACCAGTGTGCAAGCCCTAAACCGGATCACCTCTTAAGTCTCTTCAGATCAGATTCTAAATGTCTAGGCCAAAAATAATGATTCCTTAACTCACTGCTCTTTTGGCCTATTTTAGTCAAAGAATATCTTCTTTAAAATTTTGGAGCAAAATACTTCGGTAAATTGTTCTTTTGATTTGACGAGGGGATTGTTTTAAAGAATCCAGTTATGAGTCCTTTGTAAAAAGCTGGTCATTCCTTGATGTATATTTACATTTTTATTTGTTTATAGCTCTCGTCATTCATTTCAAAGCCACATTCAGATTGGATTATCTATACCACTGTTCACTTGTATTGTGAATAATTATAAATTGCTTCTGTGTAGTCATGGTGCTCACTCATTTGCCAACAAATACCACTTAATTTACAATATTTTGAAAATAAAAGATTTTAGTATCCTGAATTAGCCTTAGGTACTGTTCTGTAGCTGCTTAGTTTTCAAGGCCTGCTCTAAGGGATTAAAAATTGTTATAAATTTAGGAAGTCTTTGGTTAATATATTATGGAAGTAGTATTGGTTCTTTTTCAAGAAATTATTGATTTTGAGAAATTCCAAGATGATTTCTAATCATCAAGAAAATTAGAGGTGTTAATTTCTGGAAATGGACAACTTATATATAACAATAAAATTAAATAAAATTTTGTATTACTTGGTATACCTTAATTGCCATGAAAAAGAAAAGCAAATATATTAAGGGAGAGTGGTTACGTGGACAAGTCCAGCTGATTTTGCAGCCTAGAGGTCTTGCAAAGTGATATCTCAGGAGGGTTTCATTTTATAAGATTTGCCCTTAGCATTGTAGGTTTGGCTAATCAATATTGTCAGTCCATGAAGATGATTGGTCCTTTATACTCACACTAAACTGGGGTATGTCATAATTACCAATTTCCTTAATGTTTCTGTGTCTCATTTGCTTTATCTTTAAGTGGAGATAGAATGGGTACCCAACCTCACTGGGTTTTTTGAGGACTAAATGAGTTGATATATGCAAAGGGCTTAACTGCCTAGCACCCAGCAAATGTTGGTGTCGTTCCTTTATCATCAAATTTATGGTTGAGGAGCAGTGATTGGAGAGGTCTCAGGCAGAAACCTCACTATTATTTTTGTGTCTGCCACCTATTGTTCCTTTACCTTGCAGATAGCATTTTTATTTAATAGACTCTTGCTTTTAGCTAATGGTTTAATTTAAGTTTTTCCTTCAGTGTAGAAATAGTCCTTTCAAATGTCTTAATCTAGGTAAATTCCTTCCGTCATTAATCTATTATGAATTAATTTGTTTTTCATCGCATGTAGCAACAGTTGAGGAGCTCAAGCCTGGGACAATGGTGTGCATTCCTTGTATCGTCATTCCGGTTCTGCTCTGGATCTACAAAAAATTCCTGGAGCCGTACATATACCCTCTGATTTCCCCCTTTGTCAGTCGTATGTGGCCTGGAAAAGCCATACGAGAATCCAATGATAAAAACAAAGGCAAAGGAGACTATAAGGTAAGAACATTAAAATGTCTTGAATAAGGTTGGGTTAGGGGGGTGATCACTCAGGGTAAAATACTTGGCTTTTTGGAAAGGCAAGTTCTTGGAACCAGAAGCTTCATTAATGTGTCTTAAGTTCCTTCTTTTATAAAATAGGAGCTTGGGGTTTTTTTTTAAGTAATTAGCGTTCATTTTAAACTAAGGTTTTAAACTAGGCCTCTGATTAATGCATTTGCTCCTTGCCCTATGGCCAAGATGATAACCAGTATTTCCTGGCTGATAAGAGTAATGGTAAATAGCTAATGGATAAGAAGAGATGATACTAAAACAAGCCAGTTTCACTGATAGCTTTGGTAAGAGATTTAATTGGAAGGGTGATAGAGATTTTTTTTAAAAAACAAAATGAGGTTATTTTTTAAAATGAATACCTAGACCACTCTGTTGTCTTTAGCATTGGTACTTGTTAAGTTCTACTTAGACTTTGTTCACCTGCACTAATTTAGCCATCCTGCATATTTCTAGAAGCAGAGTTTGTTCATTCTGAAGTTTGTTGTCTGTTTTTAAAGAGAATATCTCTTACAGTGAGTATTTTGTGTTGTAATGATATCTACAATGGTTTTTCATTTTAGGGTGCAGACATGAATGGATTCCCAATAAAAGGACCAACAGAAATCTCTGATAAAAAGAAGGACTGAAGTGATTGTCCCAAAGGATCTCATTGTTTTAAAAATGGACCTAATATGAAGCACCTTCTTTGTAATTGTCTCTGATCTTTTTCTCTGAGACCAGAACTCGAGATAGATAGTTTCGATATTTACCTGATGCTAATCAGAAAACACGCGGTAGTATTTATATTTTAAATGTATTTAGTTATATTTAATAACCTCATTCCTGAGTTCCTTTTTCATTAAAGTAGCTCTCATTTCTATTATTGCCGTTTGTGCCACTAGACACTGTTACTAAATCAGTACCTACAAATCCTTGGGCCTCTAGCCTCTATTCAGGCTCTCCTGGTTTGAGTAGAGTACAATTTTACTGTGAAACAGGACGGTGAGACTGTGCAGTAAAATGAAAGGCCGTTTTGGAGATGATAATGACATGAAACGTAAAGATGTACTCACTGTCTAACACAATGGAGCAGCTTATCTATGAGAGTAGTAGTTACTGTTTATTGCTCTGAGGAAGATACAAAAGACAGGGAAATAGGGGAAACTTCTTTGAAAAATGGAACACCTTTTACGTAAATGTCTAATGTATATCATAATAAGTTCTAATCTTTGTTGCGTTCCTTCTAGTCCTACAAAATGTATTAAATATTCAGTTTAGCTTGTGCTTCTTTTTTCTTTAAAGTTTAAATATTTAAAGGGAAAATTTTCACCACCATCAGAAAGCAGGATTATAATAGTGTGATGGCATCTGGATAGTTATGGGACAAGAATGTTTTCTTTTTTTAAAGAGTAGATTGTATCAGTTACTTATTGTTGCATAACAAGACACTCCAATATTTAGTGGTTTTCAACAACAGTGACGTGACTGGGCATTTCTTTGCTGGTCTGGGCCTCTCTATATGGTCTTTCATCCCTGGGCATCTTCACTTGAGCGTTGGGATCTATAAATATTCAAAGATGATGAGACATATTTTTATATCATATTTATTTATTCCCTCTGAAGCAAGGAGAGGTTAGAAGGGGCTCCTCCCCTTGGGTCCCCAGTGAAGTCCTAGGTCCTAACCAAGGCTCTGTTAAGTTATGTGTCTGATCAAGTCATTGATTCACCCTGGACTTCAGTATAAATCAATAGATTTCAACTTTTCTGCCCCAACCTCCCTGAGGGTTAAGATAAATTCCCTTTAGCAACTAAATTTAGTTAATTAGTTTGTTTTTGAAAGGTATAAAAACAGCAAATATCGATAGTAAAACAATGAAGAGCAAGTTAAATGAAAAGTTAATATTCTTTCGCTACTCTCATTCCTTTATTCTAGCTCCACAGATGTAACCACTTAGTTTTTTTTTTGTGTGGCCTTCTAGCAACTTTCTTAAAATTAATTTGTTTTTATTAAATATATCATTTTTTTAAAATCAAATAATATTGTGAGGTTTATGGTGTCCCTACTCTTTTAGTGCCCAAAGGCTTTACTCAGTTTTTGCTTTTGTCTTATGTTTTATCTCCGTATTTCTAAATAATACATACATTACTGCTATTTTTTGGAGCTGTCAACTTTAGACATTGACTTCCTGCTGTGGTTGAGATATAGCTGTCTACACTGTGTTCCTCTGCTTCTCCCACACATCCTCATGTGTTTTTGTAAATTTTGGTTAGGTCACTAATCAGTGTTTCTGTCATTATGAGTGCACAAGATACCTTCTATTTGCCCCTCCAAATCTGCTCCCTTCACCCTACTTTTCTGTCCAAGAAAGCTGTGTGGACTACATCAACGGACTCCCGTGGCCTCTGGGATCTGTTGGTTTGGCCAGTGGGGATCTGCAGCAGGAAAAGGGAGGGAGGGAGGGAAGGAGTGAGGTCAGGGTCTTTATTCCCTTGGCTCCTTCCCTTCAGGCCAAGCGTGTTCCTCAGCCAAGGCCACTGAGCCTCAGGGTGGCCAACACCACTGGACTCCTTGCAGTTTCCACTAAGGCCTCTGTCTCCTTGCCCTTTTGGGCCTAGGGGCGATAGCATCTCTCAGTACTGGCTCTGGGTCACTGCTTTGTCTCGAGGGTGACATTGTTTCTTGCTGGACACTGACTGATACAATGTAAATACTTCTCACTGCATAGATTATGAGAGTAGTGTGACTGAGTTTCCTTTCAAGTAGGAGAGGTGCTTCGCTGAAGTTATTAATTAACTACTTTTTTCTCCCATACATTTCCTCTCTTGACCAGTTATTGCTGAGGCCTGGAGCACAGTGGCAGTCCTTGGGACTTTTCTTTACCATTCCTGTGTTGAATATCTTGTTTCCTGGATCCCACGTTGTCTTTCTGGATTTACTCCCTCGTGCTTTCTGTAGCACACCAGTTTTCTAATTCAATACTCTTAAGAGGTTCAGTATGGATAATTTTGAAAAGATCCCCCAGGTCATTCCAGTTCATTTAAACCCACCCTGCTGAGAATCACTGGTCTCCTAAGGCCTTTTCCGCTTCTAACAGTCTCACACTCGAGCACTGGTTCCAGTCTTATATTTTACGTACTAGTAAAAAAAAAAGTGTTTAAAAAGATTGAGGGGACTCATACACAGTTGAGGTCTTTTTATTTTGCCAAGCAGGAATATATTAAAAAGCTGTAATTTATTATCACCATTATTTCATTTAATTTTATTTATTTATTTTTTCCCCCAAAGCCCCAGCAGATAGTTGTAGGTCATAGCTGCATATCCTTCTACTTGCTGTATGTGGGATGCGGCCTCAGCATGGCCGGAGAAGCGGTGCGTTGGTGCGCCCCCCGGGGATCCGAACCTGGGCCACCAGCAGCGGAGCGCGTGCACTTAACCGCTAAGCCATGGGGCCGGCCCGCCATTATTTCATTTAAAAAAAGACGTTGTGACACCAAAAGAATGAAAGAGAACGTGAGAATAAAGGATAACAATAGCCCATTCATTTGAAAAAGTTTATGAAAAGTTCACTATTCATATTTTTCTTCTTTTTATGGTTGATTGGTGAAAACTTATCACCTATCCTTGGACTGGATTTGATAGCCACTGTCCTACACCACACTGGCGTTCTCTTGCCCCAAAATATCAGTCCTACCATCTGTCCATCTAGATTTCAGGGTAGCCTTTCTAGTAAGAGCTATTATTTGTTAAATGCATGTGCTTGGCACTGTGCAAGGGTATTTCACACACGTGATCTTATCGGATCCTTATAAAACTGAAATACAGTCAAAGAAACAGAGTCATAGAGTTTAAATATGTTCAGTGGACAGACTAGGATTTCAAAGCCGTGCTCTTAACCTACGTTATTTTAAAATATTGACTCGCTATGGAGCTGTCACAGCTGCTGATACCATGTAAGACCATAGTGGGAATAACTGGGCAGAAATGGAGAGGGGAGTGTGGACTACTCCGTGATTGTGGACTGGTTTTAAAGTTTTAATTTTGCTCACTTTGCAGCATGACTTTTTAACTTACCTACTTTCAGTAGCTTATTTTTGCGTTCGTTCATTTTAACTGCATTTCCTATCTCTTTTTGTGAGATGGGCTCATCTCGGGTGATTATTCTAGGCTCGTCTGACTCGGGATTTGTCACGTGTTCTTTTTCATTACTAAGCTGCCTTCCTGGGAAACGGGAATCAGCACTTCCTCAAAATGACCACCACCGGCATGTGGATCTATTCAGCAGACTGACAGGTCGGAAAAGAACTTTTAACCACTGGTCTTAGCCTCCTGAACTCTCTAAAGCTGATTGTCCTGAGTTCACGCATATCAAAAGGAGGAAGAGGAGAGAAGTCTCCTGTGGTTTCCTCCCCAGGGAGCTAATGGTTCCATCCTCAAAGCCATCTTCATTAACATGGTGACTGCTCCTTAAGGAAGAAGCAAAGACTGTGAGCAAACGTATTAAGTGAAGAGAGAGGTTAAATTGATAAGGTGAGAACTGTCAATGAACTGTGAAGGCCCCGTGTGTGATAAGTAGTCACAAAATATACTAGCCACTCCACATGTTGAGCTGGTATGGACCTTCAGGTACCCCTAGCTCAATCCTCTCATTTCTTTTTTTTTTTTTCTTTTTTTGTGAGGAAGATCAGCCCTGAGCTAATATCCTATGCCAATCTTCCTCTTTTTTTGCTGAAGAAGGTTGGCCCTGAGTTAACATCCGTGCCCATCTTCCTCCACTTTATATGGAACGCCGCCACAGCATGGCTTTGACAAGCGGTGCATCAGTGCGCTCCCAGGATCCGAACCTGTGAACCCTGGGCCGCCGAAGCAGGGCGTGCCCACTTAACCACTTGAGCCACCGGGGCCGGCACCCCCTCTCACTTCTACTAAGGGCAAAAAAGGGTAAAAGAGGTAGCCTAGGTACTGGAACAGGGCAAGAGTGGAGTCTCCTGCAGGACTGCCGTGTACAGTTGTGCTGTGCGTGCACTGCCCAATTTCAGAGAGCATCATTCACATGGACAACAATGTAAATGATGCTCCTAGACCTATACATTACACACCCACCGTTTAAGCCGTACACAGAGGTCCTGCTCCTGACTTGTAATTCAGCAGGTGAACTTTCATACTTCCTTGGTGTATTCGTTTTCTATTGCTGCATAACAAATTACCACAAACTCAGTGGCTTAAAACAACACAAATATGTTATCTCACGATTTCTGTAGGTCAGAAATCTGGGATTGGTATGGCTGGATTCTCTGCTCAGGATTTCACTGGGCAGAAACCAGGATGTTGGCCTCGTCTGTGGTTATCTAGGCTTCCAAGCTCACTGTCAGAGAATTCATTTTCTTGCGGTTGTAGGACCGAGGTCCCCGTTTTCCTTCTAGTCAGCCAGGCACCGCTCTCAGCTCCTAGCGGCTGCTTGCAGTTCCTTGGCGTGTGGCCTCCATAAGCAGCTCACTGGATGTTCACTTTCTTCCAGGGCAGCCAGAGCACATCTCTGATTTCTAATCTTCTGGGACCACCAGAGAAAATTCTCTGCTTTTAAAAGGCTCATGTGATTGAATCAGACCTGCCTAGATAGTCTCTATTTTAAGGTCAACTAATTTGGTACCTTAATTATACCTGCAAAATCCTTTCACAGCAGCACCTAGGTTAGTATTTGATTGATATT